GCTTGTTATTAAAATGTGTATGTTTGAACTGTGGCATAAAAGGAGATTGCAGTTCTGCCTTTCTACTAATAAGAGATGATTATCTGTTTCTTTTGCTGACTGCAGCAGCTAAGCTATGCGTGTCTCGTCAACTGTCCTCTCATTTAGTATGGGTGAGCAGAGAAAGGAAGAGAGATATAGACCTCGGAAACAATTCACATGCGTATGTCAGAAATTGTTGAAGGATTCTTCTGTATAATTAAGGAAAGAAAAATGTGTGTTAGGGTAAAATTCGAATTTGCCAATGACAAAATAAATTTACATTAATTCTAGGCTTTCACATTCAACTTTAACTCTACACCTAAACATAATTTAAGATAAGCACTAGATTAATCCCATGAGGCCAATACAGAAAGTAAACAAACTGTGAGAGCTTCACACGCATACACAAGAATGTGTCATGTTATAAAATCACTGCATATTTGTCTTTTTTACTCTCCTCCCCTATTTGAAATGATAAATTCTTTCAGATTTCAGCTCAGTGCTACAGTCCTTGAAGGAAGAGTAGTGATCAAATCAGAACAGGCATGTCCTGCAGATGATGCAGATGATGTTACACCACTGGCTTCTCTTTCACGCAGCATGCAGTATCAGAGAGACACTCTTACAGATGACAGAACTGCTCACAAGAAGAGCATAGGGGGCAGTGTTGTACAGCAAGATGAACATAACCAGCTAGCTACAAAACCTTCCCTTCGGTCACAGCCAGCTATCGGTACTGTATTTGAGCAAGCAAGGCATATTGGTACTCTATAGAGCCTAACCACTCTTCCAACCCACTGAACATCATAGAATCACCCCCTACAACCTGTACTCATTTAAAAAGAGCAATTGGAAATCATTTTCACTGTGTGAATATCACTTGGTATATTAACACTGTTGGAATTATTGGAGCAGGCTTGAATGTTGTCTTTGATGTATGTTTTCGTATATCAACCGTCATGCTGTGGGATTTTTGTTCCCTGGGATTTTTGCAGTTTTCTCCTCTTCTTTCCTTGATTTATGCAAACTGTGTTAAAAAAAAAATGAAAATGAATTGCATTCCTATAGTGTTTCCTTTCTAATACATCCCAAATTGCTTTACATATAGGAAGGGACCAACCTGATGCACTGAAGTGTGGCACCCACTTGGAGGTCCCCCATCCCAGTACTGATCATGGCCAGCCCTGTTAACTTCCGGGAGCTGACAAGATTAGGATAGATGGGCTAACACTGCTGTCTTAAAATGTAATTTATTGAACCAAAGCAGTGTGGGGAAATAGGTTTTCAGCACAGGTGCTTTTTCAAAGAAAAAAATTAATCTGATGTATGAACATTTTAGTTGTATGGTAGATTTCACATTTCTTGCATCGACAAATCAGTAAAATAAAAATGTAGCCTCTAACAAATGTTTGACCTTGAATACAATTTATTGTATTAATTGTTTTACCAGTAGAGGGAGTTAATCTACCATACCTTTCCATGGTAAGACAGCTGGTGTTTAAATATTTTTATTGGATGAAAAACACTGCCTTTAACAACAGGCTTATCTGTATAAGCTGTACTTGTTTTGATTTTTTAAAAATATTTCACAAAATAAACTGCATATGTTGTTTTCTTGAGAATGCAAATTATTTCCTGATATAGGGTTCTGTACACAGAAACAAAACCATACTGTATGAAAGCAATACATGTTGCAGAAATTGTCATAAAATAAATAAATAATTGCATTTCCAGGGAAGAAGTATCTATTTTTGTTAAAAGGCCATTGTGGCAAAAAAAATTTCATACCGTGTTCAAATTCTTAAGCGTGGTTTCCTTTTGAAAGCTACTGCTTTGCTTGTAAGCCTCACACACACACCACTCTTTGATTCTGTCCTCCACATGAGCGTGACTTTCTTTTCAAGTGCAACAGGGACATCAGAATTCTAATCTGCACTTCATTACTGAACTGGATCAATAGCAGGACAACAAGCACTGCACACAAAATGAGCACAATATTCGACACAGTTGCATTTCTCTGGCGTGTGGCTGAAATCCTGAGATGTCATGTAATGTTTCAGTCAATTGGATTTGGGATCACAGAATATCAGTTGAACATTTTAAAACATGTTTGGGGAGACATGTTACTTTATTCTGCTTAAAGTGTTAGCTAATCCTTGGCTCACCCTGACTGAAAATCAAAATCCAACATAATTCATCGGAAGGAAATATATGCAGTTTCTAACCAAAGCATTTTCTTGCTGAGCATTTAAGCTTTTACCTATTTTTTCACACATGATGATGAATCTTTTGTTGTGGAAGACAACTGTGGCACAGTAGTTATCGATTAGTTTGAATGCTTTGCCTTTATTTTATTAACTGTAACTGCATTCAGCATTTTATTGCAGGCGTTCTCAGCCAAGCTTTACCTGTCTAACATCATATATAATAGCACAGATAGGAAGAAGGGCTTGAGTAACCATAATAAAATGGTTATTTTATAGCTTATTGTTCGATATAATATTTAAATCTGATCAGAAAGTATGATGGTGTTACAAGTCTTATTACAAGTTATTTACTGAGCCACAGCACAATAGCTATGATGGCTCCTGAGACTAAGAATAATTAATTGTGTGAACCTGTGAACCTGTATGGACTATGAGCTATACACAATTCAACTGACGTGTGCTGCACCCTAATTTCACCAATGCTTAATCAGTTCTAATTTGTAGAAATGTTAGAATTTTCAAATTGTTTACTGATACATGATGATTATATCTTTTTTTGCAACAGGTAATAGTTTGAAGGTTTTATGGTCCAAATCAAAGCGCTTGGTTAACAGCTACACAACCACTCTTTTATCCTTGAGTCATATCCTTGAGCACCACAGTATGAACCAAACCCATTATTTTAAAACAGATAGTGAATTATGTTATTCAAAGAGTTGTAAACATGTGATCTAGGAAATTCATAGAAGCCCGAAATACAACCCCAATAGCACTGTGCCTCTTGGTTTTTACTGGATTGATAATTGATCAATATGAAGAGTCCAGTTTATCCAGTTATATTGATAATATCATCCACTTTAATGCCACACCTGTGGATCAATCTATTTCTCCAATTTATATATGAAAAAGACACGATTGTTTACATTAGATAGAAAGTCTCAAGAGCATCAAGATAAGGTTTTGACCTTTTTTCTCTGGCAAGAAGATTTCCATACAAACCGGAGGGAAGAAAATACGTACTGTACACTACAAGGACTTAAAATGAGATCTTTTTCTTGCAATGAAAAAGAAACACCTTGCTGCTGACTCTAGACCACATGTGAGCAAGGCTATTTCACACTTCTGTACAGCATGTATTTGTGGTGAGTAACACACAATTCTGAAGACTAAATAAAACCCCAACACCTACCAGTCACTTGCTCACTGGGGTATCAACACAGGTCCTTTTCTGGAATGAGTGCCCTTTGGTGTTGGTTTTGTATAATTTGCACTGGGTGTAAGGTAGACAATGTTAAATGCTGTAATTACTACAAAATAAAAAGGACACTTAAACAATACTGTTATCTGTTACTGGTCTGTGCATGCACAGGTGATTTTGGGGGATGAACAGAACCTGTGGTAAGGAAAGAGGGGTCCTAGAAATCTTTATAATTGCAAGGTGGCATAGTTGCCTGCAAAGTAAAGTAATTCCTTGATTTAGTGGTCCCTATCCATTACACAAGCACCACCCAATAATACATTTTTATTTTGGATTTTATTGCTAGAAATTAATAAATGATTTTAAAATAGTGTTTATTTGTCTACTACACAATGTTTGGTAATGTTTTTTTTTTTCTTTTTCTTGATTTTAATACACAGAACCGAAATGTCTGTTATAACACATTGAGTGCTTTGTAGTTTCAGCAGTGCATATTTTGAGTGATTTGTAGGCTCTTTTCGGGTCTTTTTGCCATTGCTAGAGAAACCTTTTAACAGAGCAATTTGACCTTCTGGCACTCAAAGTCATTCTTGTGTTTTAACATCAGCGATAAGCCTCGACTCAGAAAATGAGTGATTCATTTTTAGGTGATGGACGTTTGATGCTAAGAAGTGAAAAATGAGCCTTTGTGTTCAGTCTTACACATAAGGAAAAGTTTTCAACAACTTTGTTTAAGGTCAGATTGAAGTTTGATGGATTTCATAATCAAATCAAAATCCCAGTGGTGTCCTATTTCTTTCTCTCAAAGAAATGTATTTCAATTTCATATTTGCCTGTAACGAAAATAATTTGCCATAGAATATTGACAGCAAATTCAATAAATATTTTTTTAAAAGACGGCACAAAAGTATTGATTTGTGTAATTGATTGAGATTTATTTTATTTTTAAAATGACATGCCAATGAGCAAAACTGGATTAGCAAGTAGGATGTCTTTGGACTCCAAATTAATTTAGCACTTCATTTTCAAAGTTGAAAGTTTCAGTTCAAAGTTTACTTCACTGCTACAGCTGCAAAAGATTAATGATTAATGAACAACTTCTAAACTCAGCATTCACTTTGACTGTGCTTTCCCCTAAAGACCATTTAAATATAGTATGTTTTTCCTGTTTTTTCTTACTACAAAACAACAAAAACTAAAATTGTTGAGCAAATCCTGTAACTGGTAATCACAACTCTAGCAGTGTTATTATGAAGAAAATTACACTGGTATGCTTCCATGTAACTGGCTGTTTCCACGCAAAGCAGAAAGCATTTAAATAGTTAGGAGATGCAGTTAAGAGATTAAAAGGTGCACCTCTACATAAAATTTGTATTTAAAAATGGTGGCTCCGATATAAAATGACAATAAAAGTAAAATGATACACTCGATAATGAGAAACTAACGTGCAAGTTCACAAAATGTATTTTGTGCACAGGACCTTTATTTCCAATTTTGCCATGTAAGACTGCTAAGGTGTGCATACATAGTTTGAGTATTGACATCAGTTTCCAAAACACGTGACACATAAAAAACAAACACTTCCTGTCTCCTTTGCACAGCTAAAGATCTACAAAAAGTAAACTGCGTTAGAAGGTAATGTGAAAATGTAATATTTATCATCGACTGCTGAGAACATCTGACATTAAGAAACGCTTTATGGTTTAAAGTGTTAAGATTTAACCAATATTTTTCTATGTATAAATTATTTTACAGTAAAATAAAATGCTGCCGTATGGTTTGTATAATATTGTGGGATTAATTTGTTAAAAAAAACTTTACAATTATTAACTCTGAGCAACAAGTTTATTCAAAAGCAAATACAATTATTCGCTAATCTGCCCGTTAAAGACAGTCTCTCCGACTAGTAACTGACGAGGATCAATAAGCCTCACACTGTCAGTCACAGTTCACCGAGGAAGAAAAGCAGTACGTTTCCACGCGTGACAAGTATACAGACCAAACACCTACTGTATAATGATATAGTGGCCCTTTACATTTTCTGCATATGTCCAGTTTTTCCGAACTTGTTTTAATTGGCACACCAGACGTCTTAAATCTCTACGTTTTGCAAGTGCACCAAAGAAAGTTAAACCAAACTACAGTATACTGCACACCCCTTAAAGAAACAGTGCACTGCTTTACAAGCTTTAGTTTAGTTTAATTTTTAATGAACAGTGTCTTAACCATAAAATGTACGTAGCGTTTGTATATTAAGCATTTAATCAATAATTCAGTCGTTGAAGAAACACTAAATAAATAAAGAATAAATAAATAACTAAAGGGAGAAAGTAATTATTCAATTAGTATTATTACTTAGCAAGTCTTTTTTTCACCGTCTCTTTTTTATTTTGTAGGACTATGAGGACCGTGTTGGTTTTATGCTTTTGCCAGATATTTGCAGGCTTTTTGTGTGCAGACAACAAAAAGCCCCCCAACTTTGTCCTGATGATGGTGGACGATCTAGGCATTGGTGATTTAGGGTGTTATGGAAATACTACTTTAAGGTTTGATTTCTATGTCGTTATTTAAGTTACTTCACGTTAATTTATATTATGCATATTATATTTTCTAAGTGTTGGCTAACCTCCCTAAGTATTTTGAATTTCGGTGACTCTAAATCATTTAATCATTTATTTAATGCTGCTCCTCGTAGCAGTGTTTGATGTGCAAATACCTCTTTAGTTTCTATACATTTTAAAAATACAGTAACAAACCACATGCGTCTGTCTTCAGCAGCGCTTATCGAAATGAATTGTATCTGTTTTGCTGGTTTCCTTGTTGGTGATTGTTGAAGTCGAGCTCATCCAGTTTCTCTAAATTGTTATTATTATTTTTTTGTTGTTGTTGCTGCAGAACTCCTAACATTGACAGACTCGCCCAGGAGGGAGTGAAGCTGACGCAGCACATCGCTGCGGCTCCCCTGTGCACTCCCAGCAGAGCTGCCTTCCTGACAGGGAGATACCCAATTAGATCAGGTAGTGGCAGGGAAACTCAACCAGTTACTACAGTCTTTATACTGTAACACAACGGGGGCTCAGGCGGGCGCCCTTGCTGCATTAGGTCGGCCCCC